TATTGTTGAAGTTTCTTTTTTACTTTCTTTCTTTTTTCTTTTTTGGTAGTGCTGTGAATCAAACCCTAAGGCTTTACCCATGCTAGGAAAGTGCTCTACCACTGAGCTACACCTTTGTCCCCCTGTTGAAAGTATCTAAATACTCAAGAAGCTGACTCCAAACTACACTCTCTTCCCATAGTCCATGTTCCAAGTAATTTGGACATTTTACACTTGGCTTATCTCAGTAAAGACTGGAGTTGAGTTTTTATTTGAAAATCAGAGTAAAAGTCCAGCAGTCATTTCATTAGTGAGCTTATACAAATCTGTGATGAATTTTATGGGGATTGTTAGGTTAAGGTAAAGAATCAAGGATTACATGAGCAACTGTGTAGCTGGTATTGCCATTTGCTAAGATGAGAAAGAAAAGCGGTCTTTGGAGTTTAAAAAAAATAAAAAGTTCTGAGGGAACAAAGTCAGCTTGAAATATCTATCAAGGAGCCAAGTGGTGATGTTGAGTAGGTAATTAGATAAATGAATGAGAAGCTCGGAGGAAAGGTCCAAGCTGGAATATAAGAAAGATCTGTACAATGCATAAGATCATCTAGGAGACTGCATGATTGAGGGAAGAGGCCAGTTTGCACAGTATTGTAAGCATGGTCTTGTGGGAAGCCATCCTGACACGTGACTGGGCGACTCCCGTTAAGGGTCTGAGGCTTCTGGCTGTGTCGGAATTTTCCCGGCCCTTTCCTGATGAGAGAACCCGTCCGTGTGGGGGTGTGACTGACCACTGACCCCGGGGGCCCAATCACTGACCCTGACCTTGGAGTGCAGTCCCCCCTCAACCTTCATTGGATGGAATTATCCCCAATAAAAGGCTACTCCCTGGCGTGTTCACTCTCTCTCTCTCCTGCTAGCCCTGAGTAATCCTTGCTGCCCTGCTGGGCGGTTAGAGGTCGGAGCCAGAGAGGGGAGCCGTCTCGGACCTGGCAATAGAAATAAGGTAACTGAGTCTGTGTGTTTTATTTCGATCTCTTCTAACTAACTTTATGCCTAGAACCTCATTAATGAAACCATTGCGCAGGCCGCATGGTAGATGGTCTACTCGCTAACTATCCACGTGTGTCCCACATTTCTCATTGTCTTTGCAGTTAGATAGGGCCACGTAGGTAGCTCTAGACAATGAATGCAGATTGCACCTAAGAACTACGTTAAGATCCTCCATTGCTTTAACCAGCCTCAGCAATCATGAACTCACGTGTCAAGGTGAATGTGTCTAACTATGGAACCAGCCTAGGTGTCCATCAATGGATGAATGGATAAAAGAAAATGTGGTATATATACACAATGGAGTTTTATTCAGCCATGAAGACAAATGAAATTATGGCATTTGCAGGAAAATGAATGGAATAGAAACCATCATGTTAAGCAAAAAAAGTCAAACTCAGAGGTAAGGGTCATATTTTCTCTCATAACAAAGGTGTGGGTAATCTCCTAAGAACCAAAGGGACATCTGTAGAGGAAAGTGACTAAGAGGGTGGAAGAAGGAGAGAAGAGAGGAAGCACTGGGAGTGATATTGGTCAAATTATATTACTATATCATATGCATGTATGAATATGTAACTACAAATCCCATCTACATGTACAACTATAAGGCACCAATAAAAAATGTGGGATAAAAAAGCGAATGTGTCTGTCAACCTGAGTCCCTGAATATATCTATGTGCTACAAAGCTCCTCTATGATCCATGTAAGATATAGAGCATGAAAAAGAAATAAATATTTGTATGTGTTTAGCCACAAAAAAATCAGGACTAATCTGTTAGCTCAGCATAACTTTATCTAGTCTGTTTAATTCAGAATTCCATCATATTGTGATACTATGTGCCTCAATGAAGCACCTTGTTCATTTAAAAAATAAAAAAAGGTATATGTGGTTTAATAGGTTGTCAACAAAAGTATATCAGTGGCTGTTTCTAGCTTCTATGTGAAGTTTAGCTGAACTCCATGTTCAGCTCCTGAATTGTTGAAAATAATGTCAAGATAATGGCTATTATTTTGAAAATGCTTCATTTCTCAACCTGTTTTTTTTTTTTCCTGATACTTCCCCCCCACCACCGCCAGTTCTGGGGATTAAACCCAGGGCCTCACACATGCTAGTCAAGTGTTCTACCACTGAGCTACACTTCCAGTCCTTTTTCCTGATTCTTAAAGTTTACGAAGACTTTAAAAAGTGTATTTCTTGGAAAATTTTAAAAATTAATATCAGTTGATGCTGTATAATTTTCTCCTAAAAGAATCCTCTTCCATTATGTCTCTCCTTCCTTCCTCTCTCTTTTCTTTTCTTTCTATGTGGAAGATTGAACTCATGGCTGCTTTACCACTGAGCTACATCCCCATCCCCAGGATCTCACCAAGCTGCTGGGGTTGACCTTGAACTTGTAACCCTCCTGCCTCAGCCCCCCATATTGCTGAGATTACAGACATGTGCCACAGTACCTGGCTCAGCTTTCTTTTCTGATATATGACTCATTCCACAAACTAATCCTAGTGGATATTTCCCATTCATTCATTGGACAGATTCATACACACACACACACACACACACACACACACACATACACACACACACATATAGTTGATAGACCTTTATTTTATTTATTTATTTATATGTGGTGCTGAGAATTGAACCCAGTGCCTCACATGTGCTGGACAAGCTCTTTATCACTGAGCCACAACCCCAGCCCTCATTGGACAAATTTTTAATAGAGTTCCTATTATGTTCCGAATACTTTGTTAGGAACAAAAGAACTAAGGAAATGGAGCCAGTACATATCCTTATGGCTTATAGTTTTGATACCACCTGGAACATTCATTACTGGTATCAGAGATACCAGATATCAAAGATACCAAAGAGACGGGATCTTGAGAGATGGAAATGAGTTTAACCTTTATGTGCCATAATTCTTCACTTGTAAAATGGAAATGACAACTTCTACCTTGCAGAGTTATTGTATTAAACGAGACCTGAAATGTTTTTATTCAAGTTTTAGAAATTTACTTAGGCCATCTTTAAGAGAAAATGCTCTTTCCTACAAGGTATCTGGTACTATGGTGACTCAAGGTACTAGTGACCAGAGACTCTTTGCCTTCCTGTGTCTGTGGCTCTGTGTGTCTACATTGTTCTTCCATTACCACTGCTTGTTCTTACCCTTTTTTCTCTAAATCTGTTCTCAGACATGTCTTATTTATGGTTTGTTTCTTTATAACTTCAGTCTACATGCCCCCTCTTAGCCCTCTGTTTTGTGGTTTCTCTCTATGATCATTTCCTGCATCAGCCCTCAAAATAACTAATTTCATTTTTCACTGAAAAAATTTCAGAAGAATCTGTTGAATTGAGTCATTTTTTGAGGTATTCAAAACACATACATGGAAAATCTACTATACACAGGAAATGAGCCGGCATTCTGGGCCCCACTCAAAATTGTCCCTCCAACCTCTAACCTCATCCTGAAGATGCCTCCTGTTTACTTGAAGGCTGTTAGATAATGCTGAATTTAGCCTCCAGTCACACTGCCTAACGTCAGAATCTGCATTTAACATGATCCCCAGATGATTTGTATGCACATTCAAGTTTGAGGAGCACTGCTTGAAAACTGCTAGCTCTTCAGGCAGGAAACAGCTGGGGACTAAAAAATATTGATGCCTGGGTTTCCCCCCAGAGGTTCAGATGTAGTTTTTCTGGAGTTCAGCCTGGTATTCAAAAGGCCAGTAGATAATTCTGACAGGTAGGTTTGAGGACTTACAACTGACTAGCTGCATGAGCCTAGATAAATTGCTTTAGTTTCTCTGCAGCCCAGATTTCTCATTTATTAAGCAAAGATAATGCAGTCCACCTATTCCATCTACCACAGAATTTTAAGTCCCAATATAATACATTGTGAAACTGTTTTGAAATGTGCACCTGTGACTCTGTCTGATGTATCACTTAACTCCTCTACTCCCATGTTCTTTTTAATCGCATGTTCTCAAATATAATTGAGGATTTGAGATAAATGCATTACCAAATATGTGTATTTAGGTAAAAATGCATGAAAGACAATGTAAACTAGGTAACATTAAGTTTTACCTGTGTCATGGCCAGGTACTGTTATCCCAGTTTATCTATCATATGGCTGAGGGCTAGTGAGATTCAGTAATTCATCAAGACCCTGAACATTAGAAATTATTCACCTGATACTTATTACAAAGGCAAGAAAGACTTATACAAGACCACTGTAAAAAAGATCAAGACTATTACAATAGAGGAGAGAAACTGACTTCAAGTCTGAAAACAACAGAGGAGATTTACAGCCAGGGCAGGATGTAAGGGATGGGGGAGGAGATGGAAAACCATTAAAAAGGAACTTAGTAAGGTAATGAAGGGTGAGCAGAAAGAGGAACTTGATTGAATATCAAGAGTAAGGGGACGCTGAAAAACTGGCTTAGCAGGATTCTTTGGTAAAACAGGGCTCGGCAGAAACTGAACTCAGAAAGAGGGCCAAGGGAGAATTAGGAATGAAATTGAGTGCGTTTAAATCTGCATACTTTGCTGACCTTCCTACCCCAATATTAAGGATTAACAGTTTAAACCTCAGAGGATGCAATCTGGCTCTGTACGTCGTGAGGTATTCACCACATTGCCCAGCCGTAAGATTACTGGTTGCATCCCAGCCTCCAATCAGATCAACCAAAAATCACAGCCTTCCATATCTCGGTTCTGAGTCTGCAGGCGGCAAGCAAACCAAGCATCCCATAGCCTTATCTGAGGGCGGGGCCCCACGCACCTGCTGCGCGCCAATCACAGACCCGCGCGCAGGAGCGCAAGCGCCACAGCCGTGGGCGGGGCCTCACCACTCCCCAGTCTCCTCAGACCTGTAGGTCTCCTGCCGCTCTGATTGGCTTTCTGGGGATGACGCAAGAGGCCGCCTCCGCCTATGGTTGCGGAGCCGGCGGCCGGTGGAGTGGCGGAAGTGGTGTGAGCGAGGTGATCCCGCAGTGCAGGAGCCGCGCGGGGCTGGGACGCAGAGCTGAGGCCACTGCTTCACCTCCCCCCCAACCACGTGAGGATGACGCGCTTCGCCCTGACCGTTGTCCGGCAGTGAGTACTGCTCTTGCAGGGTGCCTTTCTTTCCCTTCCCATCGAGTATTTTGGGGTGGGTGGAAGGAGCATGGATCTGTCATCTCTTGTCCCTGCCGGCTCAGCCCTTGGAGGGATGACTTGGAAGGGAATGTTTCAAGGTTCTTTCGTCTGGGTCATCCCCTCTGATCACAACCATCCGAGTGCTGAAGGCAGGTCTTAAATATCATCACTCCGGTGTTTCACGTGAGAAAGCAGTTGTAGCTGAGTAAACGATTTCGGTTCTCTTTAACTTAGTGGCAGAACTAAAACTGAAGAAAGACAACACTGTCTCTCGGCTTCTGTGCATTTTTTGCTGCTCCCCAGCAGATTTTAAAGAGTTTGCAGAATTGCCCTTCCGTGGCTGGTATTTTTAATGCTCTCTGCCTTCGGTTACTGCCTTTCTCCCACTCTGCTGATCCTCTTGGTTTACCAGAGCAGTCAGCTCCACGGGCATGTATTTCCGATTTATTTCCTTCCTCTCCAGAGATTACAGTTCTGAGAGAGAGAGAAAAAAAAAGAGGGCCTTAGCCTCTTGGCAGACCGCCATCACCCAGAATAAATATTTTTATCATAACAGATTGCATGGAGCTAAATCTGTTATTGTCTCTTTTTTTCCTTCTCAGCACCTATTGAGTGTTCATGGGACGTGTAATTCAGTGCGGTTCAAGAGCAGAAAATTTTCAAGTAAAATAGTTGGGTTGGAATCTGCCTCCAGGACAGAGCCCTGAAGCCTGAGCCTCTGATAACCAGCTTAGTCTTTCTGACCAGTTTCCTGATATGCAAAATGGGAATAATGATAGTACCTATTGCTGTGGGTTATTGTGAGGATTAAATGGGGAAAGGTAAAGTGTATGGCATAAGGTAGGGGAAGAAAACATCTAAGAATTAAATAAGTTGTATAAGGACAACTCAACAAAGTGCAATTGGTTCTCAACAGTACATGTATAGTCTATCTATGTGCCAGTGGAGGGAATTACAGGGATAATAAGATACTGTTTCTGCCTTCATGGAGGTCATAAAGAAAGAACTCTTATAGGATTTAATCTTGTCAACCCTATTTTAACTGAGGTCTTTTCTCTACCGTTCTTCCCTTATAGGAAGATAATCTTGGGAATCATCTGAAGTTCTCCTTTGAGGACTCATAAAATTTTAATGTTTCCCTATCACCCCACCCCCACCCCCCCACCCCCATTTTAGAAAGCTTTGGGAGGATTCTTGACTTTCTTGAGGTCATACAACTAAATTGGTTAGCAAAACTGGAACTAGATCCCTGATTACTAACGCCACTTTTTTGTTTGTTTTCCCAACATAGGAGTGCTTTCTGATCCAGCCAGAACAGTGTCAATCAAATGATTGAAAATTTAGAAGTTAGGAAGTCTGAGTTAAGGCACCCCTTGAAAAGTAAGGTGATCCCTGTTTAGATTTTTAATAGACAAAGTTTTATGAATGTGAATTTCATTCCCTTCCTCTGCTTAAAAAGTGCTTCATTAAAAAGGCCTTCATAGGAAATCACTTAAAAACCATCTCTTAATAAATTATTAGCTGCCAAGCAAAGGTGTAATTAGAATCTGACAGTCTTGAGGTCTGACATCCTCAATTTGCAGGTGAGAAAAATGAGGCAGAGAGGCCATGTAACTTGCTTAAATTCATGTGGCAAGTAGGGTAGGTAGGATTCAAACCAAAACAACTTGCCCATTGTGTTCTGCCTTTTTTTTTTTTTTTTTTTAATTATTATGTCAAGTCCTAGTATTTGAAGATTACTTGAGTATCACTGGCCATGTTTGAGTCTCTTCCCCTGCCCATAAGATAGTTGTGATGAGAATAAATTTTGATCTATTTTAAACTTAGGAAAATGGAAAAAAAAAAAGGTGTTGGAATAATCAGGAGGGCTGTGATTAACTGCTTTATTATCAGAGCCATTCCGTCCCTTTTTTTTCAGTTACAGGTGGACACAATATCTATTTTGTTTTTATGTGGTACTGAGGATCAAACCCAGTGCCTCATGCATGCTAGGCGAGTACTTTACACTGAGCCACAATCCCAGCCCCTCCATCCCTTTTCTTGCCTTGAGAGTTCTTAGAGCAAAAAAAACAAGGTAAAAAATAAACCAAAACACAAAACCAACTGGTGGTTCTTTCAGGAAAAGAAATTATTTTAAATTTGATAATCAACATAGTTAAATATAATGAAATGTTAAAGAGTTGAATAATTTTATGGAACTTCATGATGTATAATATATAACTATATAATTTTATAATGCAAGAAAATTTTAAAGCAACTAAATCCATTATCATCTCCTGATAGGTGACAAACAGTTGAGTGGTGGGAAATGCGGTACATGAGGATAGTGGGATAATTTTATAAACTGGATCCATTATGCTTTCCCTGACCCCCACATGTTTTTTTTTTTTTTTGTACTGGAGATTGAACTCAGATGTACTTAACCACTGAGCCATATCCCCAGGGTCTTGAAACAGGGCTTTGCTGGTTTTGATCTCATAATCCTCCTGCCTCAGCCTCCTGAGCCATTGGGATTAAGTCACACACCACCTCACCCATGGTTTAAGTCAACAGAATATGTTATGTTCCTCAGCCAACAATCTGTTATATGCAGAAGGGCGGGCCCAAAATGCCAAAAAGAACACAAGTTACCCTGAAAAGGGGTGGAGGTTGTGTGACCCTTATACAGACTAGATTCCAAAACTGGAATTCCCCCTAACCACAAAATCAGTAAGAACAAATTCCAATTAGAACTAGTCAGCAGGGGTCAAAGTAATCAGAGTTGCCTTGATTCTTTATCCTGTGCAGTGGAAATCTGATGCAAATGTGATATCAACTAAAAGTCAAGAGGTGGACTTTGGGCGGGACTCAGGAAATTTCCCTGGAACCCCCAGTAAAATTGGAGGGCAGAAGGAGCATGCTGTCCTTCTCCTCTCTGAGAGGACCCACTTCCTACCTTGAGAGTGTCCCCTTTTCCTGTTCTTTCTAATAAACTCCTGCCTGTTTCTCTGAGCAACATTCTGATATGTTTCTGGCATGATCACAAGACCCAGTGAGAGAAGAGGGCTGTGGCTGCCTCATCTCTGCCCTTGCTCCGGAACACCCGACACAAGGCTGTTGAAGGCCCTGGTTCCTTGAACTATTTTTTTTGTTACTGTTTGCAGTCAATCACTTGCAAGCCATCATTTCACTTCCAACTGACTTATAAAACTTTATTTTATAAAGTATATTTAATTTACATTTGATGACTTAAAGATGATCAGTTAGTAAAGCTGTGCATAGCCAAACTGCCCTTTCTTATTCTACTTCTGTCAGCAGTTACTTTTTGTTAAATGTTAGTCATGTTTTAGACATTAAAAAAACAAAGCAGTATTAAATTATCTGCAATTTAATATTTTTATAAAGATATATGTAATTGCTATATTACTGTGATATTGGTTCCTAGGTATTGGGGTGGTCAACTGAGGGGAGCCTTTACAACCAGGATGCTCTATATATAAACAAAAAATGTATCACGAGTGGGCTATTTTACAAGTGTTTTGTTTTTTTTTTTGTATCGGAAATTGAACCCAGGGGTGCTTAACCTTTGAGCCACATCCCCAGCCCTTTTTATATTTTATTTTGAGACAGGATCTTGCTAAGTTGCTAAGGGCCTCGCTAAGTTGCTTAGGGTCTTGCTAAGTTGCTGATACTGGCTTTGAACTAATGATCACCCTGCCTCAACTGTCCAAGTTGCTGATATTAAAGGCATGCACCACTGTGCCCGGCCTTATGAGTGTTTTTCCACTCAAACCGTCTAGTGAAAGTCCCTATATTACTAACCTTTGAAATCTTCTGTTTGCAAGTGAATTAATTGTAAAGGAATTAGAATTAAGCTGTATTCATGAGTAAATATCAGAAGGTTTTATATTTCCATGTACAATAAAGCATATTTATTCTGAAAATGTATACTAATGAGTATATACTAATTTCCCATGATTTGTCTCTCTGGTATGGCAAACTGAGTATTGTCTGTTGGATTTGAATCCCTCAAGAGGACATAATGGGGAAATTAAGCTTTATATGATTTCTAAAGAAATTCCACAGAATATAAATCTGGACTAAAAAAAAAAACTTTTAAGTGAAAAACAGTATGATAAACTACAAAATGAATGATGCATATTTGTGGGCCTATAAATGGCTCATAATAAGACTTCACTTCTTGGCATAAGTCTTTAGATTCCTGCAGAGTTGGGTGTTGTATTTTGGAAGTGGATCACACTGCAGTTTTGAAAATGAGTGGTGTTATTCTTGACTCCTTCAAAATATATCCCTCTGACCTTTCAGCTGCCGCCTCTGTCTCTGTCATAAGCCAAGCTTTGGTTAAGGAAAATGGATTAATAGTTAAAACTATTTTATCCATCTAGTTTCCACTCCCCAAACTAATTTTAAACACTTGCTTCAAGGATTTATGTAATTTTGGTAAAGTTAATAAAAGCTCTAAAATTTTAATAAAAGTTTTAGGGAAAATGCAACTTTTGGATTCCTACTGTGTAATATTTATAAAGTGTTTTGAAGGCAAAAATACCCAACACAAGTTAAAAGCAAAAGCCGTGATTATGATAATACAGTTAGTTTTGTAGCAGTCTTTATTGACAAATAGCTAAAAGAAGTCCCGCATTACATCACAGCTATTTTTCTCCTTTTGCCAAAATCATTAGATGGTGGGAAGTGCCTTTACAAAACTATCAAATTACTGGTGTTTCATTTTTGGTAATGTTAGCAGCAGTTCTTTTATTCTTCATCTCAGCAAGATTATGAGGTTGAGATACAAAGTGAATCTAATGCATAACACCATTTTCTAGGTGAGAGATGACAGAGTTCCTCAAACTTGCCCTGGATGCTTCTGAATCATCTGCAGGGTAGAGGTTAATTTTCTCTTTTGTGTCCATTAGGATTCCAAATGAATTCTGGATAATAATGATGAATTAGTACTATTTGTTTTGCCAAGGCGTAAATAGTTCTATGTATAGTAATTTCGTTTATCATACTTTTATTTGTAAGCTAATAAATAAACATTTTTAGAAATCAAAACAATTCTCCCTGTTGTTCTCTCCCCACCCATAGATGACTGTTTCTTAGTTTCATTATGTATCCTTCCAGTGTTTCTTCTGCAGATCCAAATATTATTTCCCTCCTTCCTAAAAAGGTGATGTTCTTTTTATTTTATTCTATACCATGATTTTTCTATTTAATTAGTATCTTTACGTAAGTCTCTCAAAGACACTGCTTGCTACACATTATTCTATTAGGTAGATATATCACTATTTATTTGTTAATGAAACCATTAATAAATGGTTATTTGAGCTATGGTTAGGGAAACCAACTTCCTGTCAATGTACATTTGGAATATTTACAATCTTTTCTGTTAGAAATAATTTTAATATGAGTGAATGCAGGTGTTCCTAGCAACAGGGCTGTGGTTTAATAAGCCCGCCAGTTAATTCTGATGAGGCTCAAGTTTGAGATCCATTGCTCCAAGCAGCCATTGATCACAATGGTCAGGAGTCTACGCAGAGACTCAGTCTATATTCCTAGTCATGGCTCAAGAAACATTTGATTAAAGCACAAGAGTTTTAACTGAATTCTCCTTGATTCTACTTTTTACTTACTTGAGGATTGCTTTTATTGGTCTACCCTGTCATCTGGTCTTGCCCATGTACTCCCCTCTCCTCTTTCCTTTCTAACCTCCATTTCCCCAGTTACCTGGTGACCAATTTTTCTAGTCCTCTCACCCTTCTCATTGTTTCAAGGCTGTTTGAATTTATTTTGTTTTCTAACTCCTAAAATTGTAGTGTCCAAGCCTCAGTTCAGTGTGCTGTGGTCTGCAGGATAGTGTTCAGTACTACAAAATGTTCCTTCTTTCCCATTCCATTCGAATGCCCTTTCCCTTGCTCAGTTCAAGGTCAGCAATATAAGGACTGATCTTTATGTTTTGGTTCTGCCTTTGAAAGTAATTTTGAGTAATATATTTTGACAAGATTATTTAACAAAAATAATGTATGCACATATATAAATATTTTAAAAATAGCATTATACTCTTGCAGTTTATTTAAGATTGATTCCTAGTCTGTACATTTTAATTTGGGGTAGTTTGAAATTTTGAGCTCATCACTAGAGCTATAGAATGAATGGCATTTTTATAGGTTCAATTATGAAGTGTGTTATGATTCAGATGATCTTTATGAATATCATTACCCTTCATAGCTAGTTTTCTTCTTTTAAAAAATGACATAACTTGATATTAAAGTTTTTTCCTCCTTCTTTCTATTTTAGTGGGGAAACAAGATTGAACAAAGAGAAAGTACTTCAAGGTTGGTATAATCTGGTTGTTATTCTAAATCTCTGCTTTAGTGTTAAAGTGATATGCAAATTAATCAGATTCAGTGGGTAGGGTAGCCTGGGGGCAGCACTGTACTGGGATTGACTTAGATTGAGATTTCAGAAATAAAGTATATAACAGCCACAGAATATGATCAGAGCAACTGGTAACCAACAGGAATAAATCTCTTGACTGAACTAAATGGACACAACAGCTCTTCACCTGGGCATAGTGATGCAGGCCTGTAATCCCAGTGATTTGGGAGGCTGAGGCAGGAGGATCGTAAGTTCAAGGGTACCCTCAGCAATTTAGTGAGGCCCTGAGCAACTTAGTGAGACCCTGTCTCAAAAAATAAAAAGGGCTGGGGACGGCTCAGTGGTAAAGTACCCCTGAGTTCAAACCTTAGCATCACCACCACCAACAACAAAAAAACCCAGAAACCACTTCTCCAAATTGCTCTTTACATTCAGCTTCTAAGAGACCTAGTCAGCTGATTAGAAAGTTATATTGGTTCTAGATGCCTTAAAATATAACTGTCTAGATTTAAAATGGTTCCTATTTGGAAATATGACGTTTTCTGGCTGGTGTTAATGGTATTTTCTAGCTCAGATATTTTAGTTTTAATAGTAACCAAGAGCTTTAATTCTCATGTGTGCTCGTTATTTTATTCTGAACTGATTCTTCCTCTTGAGTTCTGTTAGTATGGACCCCAAGTTTTTAGTTGTCCTGTGATCTAGCTCAGCTTTTTAAAGAATATCCTGAGTGAACTTTCAGGTAGAACTGCTATTTCTGTGCTGTGATTATAAAAGCATTTAGTTTTGTTTGAGGGGTAGTGGCCTGGGGTTAATATAAACTGGTTTTCATTCCCAGGGTGCTTAACTCCCTTTTCTGGAGACCAACTAATCTGACACTTAAATTAACCTGCTTTTGAATGACTTGTACTCGACCCAAGTTATTCTCTGGCTTTGATCGGTTGCCACCACCTTGTCCTTTAGTACTGCTCCTTTGTCTTACTTCATTAGAAGCTGACCGTGGAATGTGAATAAAAGTCTTTTGTGTTCACATTCATTTTTTAGTTTATTCTTTTTTTTTTTTTTTTTTTAAATTCTTCTCCCAACTTAGTTGGATGCTTAGTTCTTTAAAAAATATACATAATCTTTTTAGCTGGTAATAGTCTATTTGCCTTTATTCGGGTTACTGATATGTTTGAACTTCTTTCCTTTGTTGTTCTTTTCCTCCTTCTTTTTGTAGTCTTCCTCTTTATTCTTACTGGCTTTTATATCTTAAGTCCTTATTTCTCAGGCTTGTCTTACCTTCCCTACTGGTTCCACCATTTCTGGTCTTTTAATGGTTGCCTTTAGATTTTCCCATTCATACCCGTTTTAGTCAGTTTATGACGATGGACTGGGCAGGTGAAACCACACGTTTATTTCCTCACAGCTGTGGAGGCCAAGTCCAAGATCAAGGTCTTCCCAGTCTGCTTCCTGGTTTGCAGACTGCTGTCTTTTGGTTACATCCTCCCACGACTAAGAACAGACAGTAAGAGCTCTTGTGCCCGAGTATGCTTTTGTTCTCTCTTTTTCCCTCTGTACTAGGGCATTCTACCACTGAGTTCATTCCCAGCCCTTTTTATTTTGAGACAGCATCTTGCAAGGTTGCTGAGGCAGGTCTCCACCTTGTGATCCTCCTGCCTCAGCCTCCTGAATCACTAGATTACAGGTGTATGCCACCAGGCCCAGCTAAGAGCTGTCCCTTCTCTTGGGTCATTCATCACATTCATGAGGGATTGACCCTAAAATCTAATCATCTCCCACAGGCCCACCTCCCCAAAATACCAATTTTAGGGAGACACGGATATTCACCCTACAACACCTAATGAAGAATAACGTTGTTAATGTCCCCTCTCGAAAAATACAGGAACTTATGTTATCATTGTCTGTCATCTTAGTCTTTTTTTTAAACCACTTGATGTGGACATTATTGCCTCCACTTGTCATTCAGGCAGTGTTTGCTAGCTTTGCTGCTCATCGCTTCTTTTACATCTCAGACCTTCTTTCCAGAATTATGTTTTCTGGTGTGTGTGGCTAGGCTGATGGTAAAGGTGATCTTAGTGCATACAGTTTTGGTTGGACGGTTCTTCAACACTTGGAAGATGTTAATCTATTCTTATTTGGGCTTTCATTGTTCCTGTGAAGAAGTCCTGGCCCGTCAAGTGGCGTTCCACATTTACATCTTTCTCTATAACTGTTCCGAAAATCTTCGCTTTGGTTTATCTAGGAAGATTTTTTTTTTAAATTATCCTATTTGATATGCATTGTGTTTCCTTTATCTGTACATGGGTGTCTTCCCTCATTTTTGGAAAACTCAGCCATTATCTCTTTTTTTTTTGAAAGAGAGAGAGAGAGAGAATTTTTAATATTTATTTTTTAGTTTTCGGCGGACCCAACATCTTTGTTTGTATGTGGTGCTGAGGATCGAACCCGGGCCGCACGCATGCCAGGCGAGCGCGCTACCGATACCACATCCCCAGCCCCAGCCCCAGCCATTATCTCTTTATGTTTATTTTCTCTGTTTTCCATTTTACATGTTTATTTTCTCCATTTTCTACCTCCAAAGATTTCATCTCTGAAAGATGGAATCTTTGGGAGGTGATTAGGTCATGAGGGTGCAGCCCTTGTGGGTAGGATTATAAAAAGGGGGCCCTGAAGAGCTCTTATATTCTGCCATTTGAGCACATAAGGGGAGAAGTCAGCACTGTGTACCCTGGAAGAGGCCTTCACCAGAACCCAGCCATGCTGACACCCTGATTGTGAACTTCCAGCCTCCAGCACTGTGAGACATGAATGTTTGTTGTTTATAAGCCATCTAATCTCTGGTATTTTGTTACAGTAGCCTGAACTAAAACAATGCATGTGGGGAATTCTCATTCTTTCCCGTTCATCACCAGTATATCCACATTCCTTCTCCTTGTATCTGTGCTGCATTCTGGGTAGTATGTGCAGCTTTGTCTTGGAGTTCATTACACCTCCCCTCAACCACATCGCTCAATCCACTGAGGGAATTTTTTTTTCTTTTCTTTGCATTCTGTTTTTCCTTATTAAAAGATTTATTTTATCTTTTAGAAAGCCATCTGGTTGTTTTTAATGCTTTCTGTTAATTGCTTATCTTTCTGAATCTGTCTTTATGGTAGGGACCAGACAGATGTGAGCAGTGGAAACATGAGGTTAAGGGAATAATTCTATAAAATGAGTCTCGTGTGCTGACTCTCATGTGGTTTCTTTTTTAAAAAAGCAATTTGCCTGCAGCCCTGCCTGGCATAACAACCTGTTATCTGCAGGAGAAATGCAGGCCTAAAATGCCAATAAAAACATTAGTTACCCTATAAGGGGAGAATTTTGTGACCCTTCCACAGACCAATCCCAGAACTCTGAAAGGTAAGGATAATTCCCCTGACCATAACATCTCTAAGAACAAGTTCCAGTTAGAACCACTCAGCACAGGACAAACCAACCTAGAGTTCCCATGTGCAGAGAAAACTTGAAAGTCTGCTGTCATCCTGCTGTCTGTCAGTCAAAAGTCAAGAGGTGGACCTGGGTGGGTCTTTCTGGAAACGTCTCTGGGACCCCCAATATAATCAGAGGGTAGGAGAGGCATGCCATCCTTCTCCTGAGAGGACCCGCTCTCTCCCTTTTCCTATCCCTTCTAATAAATTCATGCCTGTTACTCTGAGCAACACATCTGAAATCTTTCTGGTATGACCAGGAATATTCTGCCTATAACATTTATGTCTTATTCATAATTAATCTCATAGCTTTTCTTTGCTGATTTCAGTGTGTGAATTCTTAGTGATTCTAAATCTGTTCTTTTTTTCTGCTGACTCTCATTCATTATTATGACTCTCCTTCATTCATTATGGATTATTTTCTTGTGTATGTGTTGAATCTTTGGCTGAACTATTATTTGCTCTAAAATTAGTGGAGAGCTTGTTATCCTCTGTTGTGAGTGGTTTGTTCTGAGCAGGATTTGCATTTGGCCACTGGCCTGAGATGACAGTAGCCTCCTTCCAGGACCCCTTGCTTCAGTGCAGTTTGGTCCTCCCACCTTGCTGTCCCATGAGCAGGCCTCCTCCAGAAACCCTTCCAACCTGAGCTGATGTTGCAGCAACTCCAAATTTCCCATGTCACTTTTCACATTTCAGCCCAGGTGTCTTTGATGGCTCGGCTTTGTCCCTTGGGGATTTCCTTGCATTCTATGAGCCCATTCACGCCAAGCATACATCACTTAATTATTCTGTAATAATAAATCCCTTCTCAGTATCCAATCTGCTTTTTCTTCTGGAAGGAAGTGTAGGTTTCATAGTGTTTTTTTTTTTTTTAAACGAAAAAGAAAGGGAAGGGGGCAGGGAAGAAAGAAGTACCATCATTATAATATTGAACATTTGGACAATGGAGATATTGTAGGCAAAACTTTAGGTAATGATAGCAGCACATGTAGGGTCAGAGCCACCATTTATAAAATGCAACTAATGAGGACATGGGCAAACAAAAAAGAGGGAAGAACTAAAACCGAGATGTTCTTAGCATCACCTTATTCCCATCAGGCAAACAACTCTTTGGAAAACATTTGAATCTGTGAGACTTGATAGAATCATAGCGTAACTTCACAGTAGGTACTGTCGGCTCTCTGAAAAGTCGTGTGGAAAAGTGCATGAGGAAACCTTTCATTAAAATAGAGATAGGCACAGTTTCTGATCTCTTATCTGTGGCTTTATCTGTACCCCTCAGTTATGTTTTTGAATGCTTTGTTTCATCACAGGACAAGGAATAGATGAACCTCTTTCAGAGACTGGATTTAAACAAGCGGCTGCTGCTGGTAGATTTATGAGTAAAGTGAGGTTTACTCATGCTTTCTCCAGCGACCTCACGCGGGCAAAGCAGGTGAGTGTAGGGTGAAGGTTTAGGCTAAGAGGTCCCAAGTCTCAACAAGTGTATAAGCTTGAAAGATCTGCCACCAGAGCCCGCAGGGAATTAAATCACATAACAGCACCTCCTCCCCACTCTCTCATTTCCATGTGAACTCTTTCCTTTTCTTCTCATTGAACTTAGTTTTTTGTTTTTTTTAATTTTTAAGTTAGAGGAGCTTTGGAAAAAAGTGCTTAACAAAAAATAAAAATAAGGTATCAGGAAAAATCCAGGAGAAATGACAGGCAGGAGATTAACCCACAGTCACATCAGATAATAGAAAGGCTAGCAGAGTAAAAAAAATTCTGATTCCATAAAGAAATATGTGATATGATATAAATGTCTTTAGAGAACAGATCTCTATAAAAATGACACCCAGATTTTATTAAAAAGAACCAAATCAACTTATTAAAACTCAATGGAAGGAGACTTTTGTGACTAACTATGAGGGAATAATAGGATTGGAATTTACCTCCCTGTGTAAACAACTAGAAAACTCAACAATAAGTGCAAAATCTCCGCGAGGCTGGGGTTGTGGTTCAGTGGAAGACTGCTTGCCTAGCACATGTGCGGCACTGAGTTTGATCATCCGTACTGCATATAAATAAAGGTATTGTGCCCATCTACAACTAAAAAAAGTATATGTTATTTTATATATATGTATATATTATATACATGTAATACACTTATTTATAATTTTCTTCCAATCTGTGGTTTGCCTTTTCATTTTACAAATGGTACTTGCAAAGAACAGACAACTTTTACTCAAATAAAATCCAGTAAGTGAGACCTTGGACTTCAGGCATATTGTGGCTCTGTGATGCCTAGATGAGATGGAACAAATAAGTTGAGCCCCAGGATTGTCCAAAGCCATTTCCAGACTCTGGTAGGGGGCACAAAATAGAGCTCGGTGGTGCCCGTGATTTGAGGAGGGAAAGCATGGAATTTGGGGATATTAAGGTGACTAAAATTTGAGGTTCAGAGAAGTAGAAGAGCTAGACAGAGAAAGAACTCTAGAAGTATACATAGCAGTCTGCTTAAATATGTCAAAATACGTTCTTCTGTCATGGATAACTAAAATGAACAAATTTTTAAAAATTCAACCAAAAAGAAGCTTCTTTGGTGGACTGTTATCTGCGTATGGGTGGAATGACACTGCATGAGAACAAACAAGACACAGCTGTAGAGGAGGGACTGGTTCCTGGGGAGGGAAAAGTGGAGCGATTCCTAGAGCTCACAGAGGGTGGGGAAGCACGTGAGTCCCCACCAGTCAGCGTGCAGGGATTTTGTGGAATACACAGGGCACGCAGTAGTGATTCCAGAATGATCACTTCCTAGCAGTAAATAAGGAAGAAAAATGAGGAGAGAAATAGAAGATAAAAACCAAAAATCTTTAAAAGGAACAAGGTTGAGCTCTATATGTGTATTATGAATTGTAATGCGTTCTGTTGTCGTATATAGCAAATTAGAATTTAAAAAAAGAACCAGATTGATCTAGAGATGAAAAGTATGATGTCCTGAAATAAAAATGTCACAAGATGGACTAACAGGGTAGGCACTGTAGAAGAGGTCATTGAACATGAAGACTTAGCAATAGAACATTCCGAATTTACTATGGAGCAGAAAGAAAGAAAGAAAGAATAAAATAGGAAGATAACCAGTCTCAGCGAAGTATGGAACAGTGTCAGACAATCCAACACACATGTTGGTTGGGAGTCCTGAGAGGAAAATGGGGAAAAGGAGGTAGGAGTGAGTACAGGAATTTTTAGAAATATATTCTGAAGGTATAAAGATTGAAAATACTTTGAAAACTAAAAAGAAGACTTTTTTTTTTTTTCTCAAGCAAAATTGGAGAGGCCAAAAATAGAGCTACCCTTATATAGTCAATTATTGGTTTTATGTTTTTGGTCAGTAGGATTTTGACAAAGGTCCTATAGTAATTTATTAGATAAGGATAGTTTTTTCAATAATGATGCTGACACAACAAACATGAACGTCAACCCTTACCTTGCACCACACACAAAAACTAATTTGAAATTGATTATATAAACTGGATTTTATTTGAGTAAAAGTTGTCTGTTCTTTGCAAGTACCATTTGTAAAATGAAAAGGCAAGCCACAGATTGGAAGAAAATGTACATATATATATATGACACTGTGTGCATATGAATTCTTTCTACTCAGTAATTAGACAAACTTTAAAAGGGGCAAAAGATTTTAATTAGAACAGGAACTCCATAAAAGAAGATGCATGCAAAGACAATAAAAATTATACAAATGAAAAGATGTTTGGCATCCTCGATCATCACATAAATGCAAATTAAAACCTCAGTGAGATACCACTGAACATAATATTTGAATGACTAAAATGTGAAAAGATTGTAGAGTATCTAAAAGTCACATATTACAGGTGAGAATGTAAAAGAAACCAACTACTTTGGAAAATAGTTTAACATATGCTTATTGTTACCCAGCAGTTTAAGTCCCAGAGACTTATCCAAGAGAAATAAGAACGGATGTCTGCACAAAGACTTGTGCACCATTGTTCAGTAGGACTTTTGTTTGTAACAGCCATATAATAGACTCTGTGTTTATCAGGAGGTAAATGGACAAATGAACTGTGGTGTGTTCATACGGTGGAATACAACTCAGTACTGAAGGTGGAACACTAGACATGCATCAACATGGATGAGTCTCTCAAAAACATGCTAAACAAAGGAAACCGGGCACTAAAGAGAACATAATACATGATTCTGTTTATATGAAATTCTGGTAAAAGACTGATGTACAGTTATATAAAGCAATTCAGTGGTTGCTTGGGCCAGGGGTGAGAAGGATTTACCGGCATGGGTATGAAGATATATTTTGGGGTGATAAAATTCTTCTGTATTTTAAGTTTTGGCACTTAGATGGGTGTATAAATTTGTCAAAACTCAAATGAACTGTAGACTTAAGATAGATGTATTTTACTGTTGTAAATATGTATCGATAAAATCAGTTTAATGCAGGGAATAAGTTAGGAAAAACCTCAATGAATATACTGAGTTACAGATTACACACAGCTGACATGATTGTTAAGACAGTAGACCTAAGGGCGACATACATGACTGATTTGAAAGACATGAGGAACATGGTGGGAAGTTGTAATGTCTTTCAAGAGGAGACGTCCGAGAGTGAGGATGAGGCAATATTCAAAGAGGTCATAGTTGGTCTTACAGAATCATTAAAAGACAGTGGATCTCAGATCCAGAAAGTGTAACCAGTCCCAATTGGTAAATACAAAAGAAATCCACCTCTATATTCATCGTAGTCAAGCCAAGATTCCAAAGAATAAGGAAGACAAACATCATTCACTAGTCAAGCAGTTAGGCTGTCTACAGGTCTGTCAATGTCAGTAACAGCCTCTTCAGTATGCTGAGAGAGGGCAAGGATTAACCTAGGGTTTTAAACTTTTTCTAGAAAACAGGTGAAGACCGTTCAGACAAACAGACCCTCAAGGCATTTTCAAAAAAATATTGAAAATAATTCTAGAAGGAAGGTCCGAGTTTCAGAAAAAGATCAGTGAGCAAAGAAATTGGCAAAGGTACACATAACATAGATAAATACAAAGAAATACAACATGCATATGACAGTAATGATAATGTCTAACTTACAGGGAGGGGATGAAAATGCAAGGTAGATGTGGACTTAAACAATTTCTGTAGTTTTGCAAATATGGTGTTTTATGTCCACTAAAACTAGCCAGATAAACTGAAAGAAGGAAACATGGACACAAATGAGCAAAATTAAAAGATAAACAGCCGCAGGAGTAACACACCCATGTTACACACAGGTGAACGATGACCCAGAATCTCAGCAGAGAACTGTAAACAGTAAATTTTAAACAAAAGTTCAAATTCTAGAACCAAAAATAGCACTGCAGTTGAGGCTAATGGATGTTAAATAGCAGTTTAGACACTTGAGTGGAGATTTAGGAAATGGAACAGGTTAGCCAACCTTTTCTATAAGGAGCCATGTGATATATACTTTAGATCTTGTGGGCTCTGAGCTCTCTGTCACAACTGTTCACCCCCACTGTTGGAGTGTGAAAGCAGCCAGAGACAATACCTTTGTGGAACTTGTGTCTGTGTTCCAATAAAACTTTATTTACAAAGCAGCTGACAGTTTGGATTTGGCTTGTGGGCTATAGTTTGCTAACATGTGAACTAAGAGATACTTTAGCAGAAAATACCAGAGTCAGTCATGGAGAGACAAAAGGAGGAGCAGAACAGAAGGGGGACCATTTGTTATTGTTGGTTGGTTTTTGTGTTGCTAGGGAAGGAACCCTGTGCATGCTAGGCAAGTTCTATACCACTAGGGACATCCCCAGCCCAAGAGGCAGCATTTACACAGGAAATTTATTGCTTGTTCTTTGATCTTATTATAGTTTTTAGTTAACGAAAGTGTCATGTATTGTGTTGATGTTTCATAGTGATTAACATTTGTATAAGAAACAGTTGTGTTTTGCTTTGCAGACCATGCATGGGATTTTGAAGCATAACCTGTTTTGCAAAGACATGACAGTACAATATGATTCAAGACTTCGAGAAAGGGTAAGTGACTTATTTGTTGTGTATGCCAGATTTTCATTGCTGTGACAAATACCTGAGAAAAACAACATAGAAGAAAGATTTATTTTGGCTTATGGTTTCAGAAGTGCCAGTCCATGGTTTGCTGGTTCCATTGCTTTGGAATTGAGATGAGTGAGAACATCATATGGAGGAAAGCTGCTCACCTCATGGTAGCCAAGATGGAGAGAGAGAGTGGGGGAGGGGAGGGATAGAGAGGAGGGGCCAGGAACAAAATATAGTTCCCAAGGGAAAAATATAGTCCCCAATAACCTACTTCCTCCACACAGGCCTACCTGCCTAGCGTCCATAACCTCCCATTCAGTTATCCATGGATCAATCCACCAATGAGGTCAGAGTCCTCATGAGCCAGTCACTTCCCCAAAGCCCCACCTCTTGAACATTGGCACTTGTTATCAGTTCTTAAACTCATGAGCACTGGGGGGACATGCCTGATCCAAACTGCAGTATTTATACATCATGCTTTATCATAAAATTTCAGCTAGCCACCTCATTTTATAATGTGGCTAAAAATCAAGTGTAGTTCTACTGGGGTCTACTAAATGAGTCACATATTCTTTTACATATTCTCATAGTACGTGTGTGTGTGTGTTGCTGGGTGTCAAACCCAGGGCCTTGCACATATTAGGCAAGTGCTCTACCACTGAGCCACACACCCAGCCTGTATGTAGCACCTTTTAAATTACTAAAATTTTATGACATAAGATGGGATAAGCCTCTTGAATCATAAAAGGAGACACTTGTAAGAACTTGAAACAATATACAAGAGTTTAGAGTAAAAGGTGAAAAGTTCTCACCTCTCAGTCCTACTCCTCCCTTACAGGTATAAATAGATTTTTCTATTGCCCATTTTGTATGCCAGAAATGGGTCTTCCTGAGGATGACGTAGCAAAGTCACACAGCAAAGTCATACAGTCAAATCATTAGATTTGAATCCAAGTCTCCTAGAGCAGTCTTGATTTTTATTGTGCTCTCTAATACTAACCTGTAAGCCCGTTAGCATCCCTGCCACCTCATGAATCTCTTCTTTACCTGGGCAGAAATGTAACAGAATGTGGAGGGCATTTTTAAAGAATGGCTTCCCATAACTTGCATGTGTTCTCTGTTATTGTTAAGAATGGATCTTAGAGCTACATCGTCAAGGCTGCACAAAGGGCTCAGTCTGTGCCTGAGAACCAGGGCTCAGACTCTTCAAGATGTTCTGACCTCTGAACCCTGAGCACACCTATCATCATACAGTAGGAGAAAGCATCATCAGTGGGCGTGGCCACCTTTTTCACTTTGTCTCTGTTCCTGGAGTAATTTCATCTCCTGTGGTTTTAGTTGGTGAAATCCCAATGATTTCCAAATCTGTGATTAGCTGAGATCTCTTACCTGAGCTGCATGTTCACTATCAGACTGCCTACTGTGGGGTTTCTGGTTTGTATGCTCTGCACCTGTTTTCTGCTCAGTGGGTGTTCTGCCTGTACCCCAGGCTGCTCCTCTTTACCCTATTGGTTGAGTCATTGATTTTTTGCTCTTTGTCTCTTATGCCCCACCACCTACCACAGGCAGTCCTACTGTGTTCTCTGCAAACCCCTGCTGCCATCCTGGAGCAGCTCAGTGTCGTCTCCTACCTCAGTCCCTGTGATAGTCATTCTCTTCTTTCCTGTCTTGCATTCTCTTTTCAAACCTAATCTCCAACTGCAACCTGAATAATCCTTTGCAGAACGGTTCACTAATTCTCTTAAACCTGGGTCCCAAGGTACTGTGTAAACTCATCTGTCACCTCCTTGCCTTCTCTTCCTCCCTGGTACTTCACGTTGTAGTCTCAGAGTACTGGTTGGGCGTTGGCATGGTGTTTGCCACCTGCTAGCATTCTTTCCAAGCACTGCAGATTCATTCAGCTTCGTAACCTACTGGGTGAAGACTGAAAAACCTTACGTTTTAATTCACATTTTATAGATGGCAGACATCAAAGCACACAGAAGTCAAGTCTATGCCCCCAATCACATAGCCACCCAGCCCTGCAGTCCATACTCTGGAACGCTGATCATGGGCCTCGGGCTCTTCTCTGAATCACCCAAATTCTTCTGGCAAAAGAGCCAGCCTCATGAACTTCTGGCCTGTGCTCCACTCTGCTCCCCGATCTGCCAGTTTCTACTCACCTGTCAGGCTTTGACCCTCTGTGATTCCCCCATCCAGAGGAGTCATCTCCACAGGTGTGCCTGTGTCCTTCGTTTTCTCCATTGTGCTCCTTGGTCAGCAGCTCACCACACTGGTCTCTGCACAGGCGGGCTCAGCCCTGTGGCCTCAGTGCCCAGTTTGCTTCATGGTGGCACTCAGGATACTTAATAAAGGAAGGTTTCCATTCCTCTGAAATCAAAGCAAGTGATAATTCTTACTGATCCCTTTTGTAATAGAAATTGCTTTGTATATACCTGGAGACATGAATTAGGCATTGAGGATTGCAAGAATGGCTGACTTCGTAGCAAAACATGCATATATTCTTATAAAATGGTATTTTACTCACGGATTTCTATCTGATGATGGTATGAGGATTTTGGCATCATCTGTGCAAAGTATAACAGTTTTTTTTCTTTAAATTCATTATTATGCAAGCAACCCATTATCTGTATAAGGAATTAAAAGTGACTTGGGGAGAAATACAGTTAAAATCTATACTACCCCCAGATAAACACTGTGAACATTTTTGGGTATGTGTGTTCTTAATTTTTTTCCCCCTGCTTGTGCATTTTTCTAAATGGAATTCTTTGTATTGCTTTTAAACTAGCATTTCTCATTTATTGTGTACTGACTGCTTTTCAGTGCCTGTAAATGCACCTTGATATAATCACCTAATTAGTGGCTTAATGGATATTATGTAATTTATATAACCCAGCAACTACTAATTAGCATCCAGGTTGTGACTAGATTTTCTGCTGATGTAAATAATGTTAAAATAAATATTTTTGCAGTTCATTCTTGGTACACCCATCTAACATACTTCTAGAAATGGACATTGCTGAGTGTGTACTTTTTCTTATATTAACTCTAAATTGCCTAGTTTAAATGGCGTTTCAAAAAGCCACGCCAACTTATATTTCCATGAGTGGTCTAGGAGAAAATATTTCCAAGCCACACTTGATGTTGTCAGTTTCTTTAATTTTACAATGCAATAGCTGAAAAATGGTGCCATTTAGTTTTTACATTCTTGGGATTCCTAATGAGGTAGTTTCCCCATGTTTCTTGGCCCTTTGATTTCATTTATGACTTGTATGTCCTGTGCTTGGGCTCAGTCTTCATGCGCCTAGAAAGCTAGCAATTTGGACTTGGATTTTAACTTTGCTGTTGTCTGTGAAAGTGAGGCTATTTGTTTAACCTCCTCGAAACTTGGCTTCCTCCCTTATAAACGTGGAGAAATACTTTTATACCTGCTTCAGAATTCTCTTATTAAGACCAAGTGAGAGAGTGTGTGGATGGGAGGTGGTCAGCATGGTGCCTTGCATGTGTTCTCTAGCCCAGGAGTCTGAGCCTGACCTTGTATTTATTCAGTAAAGCCCCGCCGTCTACTTAGCTTCAATGACTTCTTCCATACAACCCTCTTTGGACATAGTGTACCACTCAGGTTTCTGTTGTATTTTCTAAGGCTTCATGGCCTCCTATGATACTGAATACGTTCCTGTTATTGGGAAGAGAGAGGATACTAAAATAATATAGGAAACTAAGCTTATTCATGGAGCCATCTCAATTGGCCAAAAGTCTGAACTGAATTGTTGTCTTGCAAATTCACCTGAGGCACCTTTGTCTGTTGGACCATGACAGAAATATGGGGCTGCGGAAGGCAAGCCTCTAAGTGACCTGAGGAACATGGCCAAAGAAGCTGGGGAAGAATGCCCTTTCTTTACACCTCCCGGAGGAGAGACGTTAGACCAGGTATGTACGTACCACTGACCCGAGCTGCCAAGTTGGGGGACTTAACATTGTCGGAAAGGATGAATCTGACTCACTTGTAAATTAGACGTTTGTGAATTATAGCCAAGCAATTCAAAAGTTGCTTTGTTTATAACACAACTCTACATGATGTTATTTCTTTTTTCCTTTTTAAGGCATCCTCTCTTTCTCATTTGCTGCTAAGTTAACAGCCATTACTGATCATGAATTTAAGGAAACCTCCTCTTTTATGGTACATCTAAGAAAAAATTGTTTGTGAAGCAGTAGCGAGCAGCAGTGGTGTTCAGGGGGAATAAGCAAATCACTCAAGGGCCAGGTCATTCTGGACATGAACTCTGGCCACTGCTGCCCAGCAGCTCTTGAGTGACATCCTCAAGTGCTCACACTTCTAATAAGTCATCATCTTTGAATTGTGTTATTGATAATTTTCCCTCTATTCTTTATCTTTGTAATTTTCTGATAAACTCTATTACCTTAGTAAGAAAAAGATTTGTTGTTGTTCCAGCTGAATTGAAGTGCCACATAGTTTCTTGGTGAACATGATTTTATGGCTTTCTGTTCACTTGTAGATTTCCTTAACCTAGTGCTCTGAAGTCAGAAATTAGAACAATATCCTACTCATCTGTATCCCTGGTTTGCCTCCAGAAATGTGGTGGCACTTTCTTGTACCTGTGAAAGCCCCGACTGAATGATCGGAAATATAGATTGAGATTCATCTACTTAGGTGTCCTTACATTGACCCATTAGAAAAGCAGGCAGTTATGTCATGTTTATGTTTTCAGGAGATCATTAAAGTCCGTTTATTTCACATTTTCTTTCTTTCCTTATAAGGTGGAAATGCGTGGAAAACAGTTTTTTGAATTTCTGTGTCAGCTAATCATGAAAGAAGCAGATCAAAAGCAACAGTTTTCTCCAGGAGCTCCAAGCAACAATCTGGAAACTTCTTTGGCAGAGATATTTCCTTTAGAAACAAACTACAGCTCTGAAGTTAATTCCGACAGTGGCGCTCCAGGATTAGTGGCCAGTGTCTTAGTCGTGAGTCATGGTGCTTACATGAGAAGCCTGTTTGGTTATTTTCTGACTGACCTTAAGTGTTCCTTACCAGCATCTCTGAGAAAATTTGAACTTTCGTCAGTCAGTCCCAATACTGGGATCAGTCTCTTCATCATAAGCTTTGAGAAAGGAAAAGAACCTATACCGAAGTGTGTTTGTATGAACCTACAGGATCATCTAAATGAAGTGACCAAAACACTCTCAGTTTAGATCTGCATCAAAATTCTAACAGTTTTGAGCTTCTGAAGGGAGTGCCTTTGGCTTACTTTATTTCCGTCCTTTGCTAGTGCTAATTCGGAAATAGTTAAAAATCATATTATAAACTCTTCTGGAATGTCGGCCACATCACACAGTAGTGGAAAGCCATGTAGAATTGACTTATGTTGTCTTGAGTGCAGCCTGCGTTTTCCACCCTGCTTGATCCCATCTCTGAGTGATAAATGGAAGGAACTCAGTGTTGCAATTGGGGGATTCACATCCTTGCTATAGAAATTTTTTCCCCCTTTTAAAAAATGTTTGTTTGTGTGTTTGTTCTTTAATGAAAAAATTAGGCTATTTCATTGATTGATTCTTGGTAAGATAATGTTTATTTTTTACTATCACATCCAAGTCTTGAAAAAAAGAACTATTTATATTTCCCATTGCATATTTATAGTTACTGTTATATTTTGAAAGAAAAGTTCTTTAAATGGAAAATTCATACCATTATAAGTCTATGTATAAAGTAAAATGATAAAATGACACTAAAATCTTTTACTTAGAAACAAACTGTTGGATTTTTTTTTTTTTTCAAGAGGGCTTGAAATGTAGATGAATGCAGATTATTAGTGCAGAGCAACCTGGGGGAGGAGGTTAAGACATCATTTACTAAAACACATTACAGATGGAAGCTCTGAGCAGAAGGTAAAAGAACAGTGTGCTCTTTTATCTTGCAAAACACAAAGTCAGTGGAAGCCAAGAAAGTCCTCCAAAAAAGTTTGACTCAGAGTAAAGACCACTATCCACTTGCTTCTTCTTTAACCTGTAGGCTGAAGAATTTCCAGTTTGGGGAAGGCTTCAGAGAAAGTGAACAGTTGATAGTGGAACTATCAACTGTGTGGGAACCTCAGAATCTAGAGGGAGCTTCATTGAAAAGCATGGGGCAACTGTGGTTTTTTATGGAAGGTACAAATGAAGTTACCTCTGCTTTCCACAAGATGGCGCTGGAGGAAAGGAATTTTGACTAACCTAATTTGGACATCAGCTTGGTCCTTCAAAAGTCCTTGTCTAAATGAAGGCAGTGTCTTACAAGTAGTTTGCTTTAAGTAATCATGTTGCTGAGTGCCATAAATTTCAGCTTACAAGAGGATGAATGCTAAACCTGTCAGTTAAGGCTAAAATTACTTTTGGTTGATATCTCCTTTGAATATCATTTAAATCTTTTGTAAAGTTGTATATTTCAGCATTCTTGGTGTGTCCACAACTACCATGTTTTCTGCCAAGATTGGAAACAGGGTGTGAATTTGAGCACTGGAGGAAGTACACTAGAAATAAGTACTTGAAATGATAGCCTAAAAGAACAAATAATATCCTTATTCTCACCGTCCCAAAGTAATTCCTTTCTCTCTTTTTTTTTCCTTCTTACATTGAGATGTAAGAAGAGTTTCCTTTAATTAATTCTCACAGTGCTGTTCCCCTGCAGAGGCGATCACTGCAGTGAGTGAGTGTCTGTGTTCATCTCTTCTTCTCATGTTCACCCTGTGTCTGCGAGGCAGCAGTATTGTTTGGTGCTTTAGAACTGTACATAAATATCATCGAGCTGTCTGTGTTCTTTATTTTTACCTATTCTGTGTTGGGGCACTCTCTATGTTGATATATATAGACCTAGTTAATTATAACCACTGTACTCTCATGAATAAATATAGCACATTTGGTTTATTATTCTACCAGTGGACATTTAGGTCTCTTCAGTATTTCTCCATTGAAACACTATGACAAGGAAGAATCTTTAGTCTGGCTCCTTGTGCAGAGTGGAAATTGTGCCAGATGTCTCTTCTTGGTGGCTGTGCTACTTGTCAATGCCACTGGCAGTACCAAGAATGCCTCCCTTCCATATCTTGTCAATACTCGGTACCATCTAACTGGTTTTTGCTAATCTTCTGAGTGAAAAACAGTATCTCACTATTTTATTAAGTTTTTCTGTGATTGTTAATGAGCCTGGGCATTTTTTTTTTTTTTTTTTCAAATGAATGACAGTTCCGGTCTCCTTGGATTGCTGATTCACTGGTTTATGTTCTTTGCCTGGTTTTCTATTGGCTTGTTCAAGTCAAACCAGTATATCTTGTCCTTTTATGTGTGTGTGCACTTGGATCTTGAAGAAGCCTTTTCCATGATGAAATCGTGGAATAATCTTCTTTCTTTTCCCTTATATTTTTAGAGGGTTTTTGAATGTCAAATTTTAAAATTACCTGGATTTTATTTTTTTTAAGTATAAAGTATAGATTCAGTTTTATGTTGTTTTCCATGTGGGTGAAACAGTTACCCCAGCACATTTTTTTAATATTTATTTTTTAGTTGTAGTTGGGCACAAAACTTTATTTATTTTTATGTGGTGGTGAGGATCGAACCTAGGGCCTTTCACTTGCTAGGCAGGCACTCTACCGCTGAGTCACAACCCCAGCCCACCCCAGCGCATTTTTGCAAGTCTGTTCCTAGCCAGGCATGGTGCACCTGTAGTCCCCAGTACTCAGGAGGCTGAGGTGGGAGGAACACTTGAGCCCAGGAATTCAAGACTGTGGGCAACATAGCAAGACCTCATCTCAAATAAAATAAAATAAATGAATAAAAATAGAGTCTCCTGTCCTGTGATTCATCATTGTCACTCCCTTATACATCCATCTGTGCCTCTCTGTGGACTCTTCTGTCTTAGCGCTCTGTATTTCCACTTCAGTGTCTTACTGTGGTTTTGCAACTGAATGTCTCACAGGGTGAGTACTTCCTCTTCTTCATTTTTATGGTCATCTTTGTGTTATCTGTATACCTTTGTTCATATGAATTTTAGAATCATTTGGTTTTCAGAAAATTTCAGTTGCAATTTTTTTTAATCACATTTCTTTACTTATCAAGTCATTCAGTAAATATTTTTTGAGTATGGCATGTACATCCTAGGATAGCATAAGAACTCAGAGCTATTATAAGAACTGTGAATATGAAGCAAGGAGCTCAAAATACAGTCCTCATCTTTGTGGAATTTAGAGTTAAGGAAGACAGCAGTGAGTGCTATGAAGAAAAAGGAGAAAGCTGGGGAATGGGGCCTGGAGGGAGATGTGAAGCTTTGTTCAGGATGAACAGGAAGGACTGAGGTGGTACCAGCATATACAGGCAGGGGAGTGAGCTCTAATGATCTCTGGAAGAACCTTCCCACAGACAGCACAAAGGCCCCAGGAGGAACCATGCTTGGGAGGTTTGCCTGGAAAAGGGAATGGGATGGGAGTGGAACCTTGTGTGGGCCTCCCAACTAGGGGCCTGTGCTAAGGTCTTGGGCTCTTACCCAAGCAGGTTGGGAAGGCTGGGGAATTTTTGAGCAAAGTGACAGGATCAGATTTATTCAGTAGCCTTACCCTGGTTGCTGTGTGGACAACAGACTGTAGGGGGCGCTATAGGAACATAATGCTGGAGGCAGCCAAAGCAGGCAGCTGTGCCACTTGAAAAAACAGCCAGGGACATTAGCAGGTCAGAGAGTCCCCAGTGATAGACAAACCTGGACACTGGGTTCCTAGATTAACTTGGAGAAGAACTGTCCTCTTCCCATCTGTGAACATCATAGATCATTTTTTCTGGGTCTTTTACTCAGTAAGGTTTTGTCATTTTGTTTGTAATGTTTTGCCTGCATTTTTTTTTTTCCTTAGAAAAGTTTTAGGTTTATGGCAAGATTGGGAGGAAGTACAGAGATTTTCTGTATATCCCCTGCCTCACCCATGTGCAGCTTCCCCAACAACTACATGCCTTACCAGAGTGGCACTATTTGTAACAATAACAAGTCATTGATATATGATGGTTACCTAAAAGTTCAGTTTACATTAAGGTTCACTTGGTGTACATTCTGTGGGTTTGGACAAATGTGTGACATGTATCCACCATTATAGTGTCATACAGAACATTTTCAGTGCCCTAAACATTCTCTGTGCTCTGTGTATTCACCCTCTCTTGTCTTCCCTGGCTGTTGGGTTTAGCCGTAGGCCTGGCAAGGGGAAGGGACACTCCCTCAACTTCAGTTTCCTACACAGCTTCCTCTTTAATGCTTTTTAACTGAACTATTTTCCCATTAAAAGCCTGTTTTACCCGGCATCTTTATTTTTCCTATTGTGTTAGCTTCCCATTATTGTAACAAAACACCTGAGATAAACAACTTATAAGGAAGAAAAGTTTATTTTGGCTTACAGTTTTAGAGGTTTTAGTCCACAGTTGGTTGGCTTTGTTTTTGGGCCAGTGGTGAGGCAACACATTGTGGTGGTAGTGCGTGGTGGAGGAAATTGGTCATCTTGTGGTGGCCAGGAAGCACAGGAAGAATGTGAGCAAGAAAGAGAAGGAGCAGCTAGGCTCCCAATATTCCCTCCAAGGAATTCCACAGTGAACTACCTTCCTTCCGTTAGGGCCCTCCTCCTAAATGATATATTACTTCCCAATATCACCACAAGCTGTGGACTTAGCCTTCAATACATGCATCCTTGGGGAACATTCCATATTCAAACAACTATAGCAACTATCTAAAATTTCTTACAGTGTCATACCAAGCACATTATAGGCTTTCATTAGGGGAAGCACAGAAGGTAAAAATACTAAGTGAGGATACAACAGGGTCTTTAATCAGGCTCTTCTCATGGCTGACTTGGGCAGGAGATGCAATGTTTGGGTATTCCATTTAGAATAAATGTTTTTATATTATGTATACTTGCATGTATATGTATTTTTGCGTTTACACATAGTTGGATTTGTTAAGTTAAATGTTTCTATTATGTATCTCCATTCTGTTAAGGAAAAAAATCACAATTTTATCCAAACAGATCTTCTAGGTGAATATACTCAGCTGTAATCATCAACTTTATAAGGGCAGATGGCACTCACCAGCCTGGAAATTGAATGGGACTTGTTTTAGTCATCTTTCTGTTATTGTAAGAAAATACCTAAGATAATGAACTTATAAAGAAAAAGAAGTTTGTTTTGGCCCACAATTTTAGAAGTTTCAGTTCATGGTCGGCCTCATTGTTTTGGGCCTATGTTGAGGTGACACATCATGGCAGGAACTTGTGGAGGAAGAAAGCCCTCACCTCATAGCCAAGAAGCAAAAGAGAGAGGAGGGCAGGCTCCACAATCTCCTTTGAGGGCATGCCCCCAATGGAGGGTGTATTCCCAAGGGTCTAAAACCTCCTTGTAGGCCCCAACTCTTAACTGTCCCACCACCTTTCAATGTACCACCCTGGGGACCAGGGCTTAACACATGAGTCTTCGGGTGATGCTTCAGAGCCAAATTATAACAGGGTTCTATAACTATTACTCCTTAACTATTCCCCCATCTTTCTGTTGGTG